GTCAGGGAGTAGACACACGCTCCCTCTGATCTTGGTGTCTATCTTTAGGTTCGAGAAACTACACTGAAATTGCAAGTCTAGCACACCAACAGCATTCACTCACACACAATTAGTTAGCCTATCGATAGAGCACTCTATGGTCTATCGACGCAAGAATATGAATACATAGCGACCTTGACTGTTTTAACCCAGCCCTTCATAAGGATTTTTAATACCGTATCCATGGATAGCGCCGTGGGAGGTTTATTTATAATAGTACATGAATGTTATCTGTATGTGCCAGTGGCTATGCGTACCAATTTATGTTGCATTAAGAAAAAATATAAAACGTCATTTAACGAGATTAACCGATTTATCATAACCATCATATACACAACAAAAAATATAATAGCGACTGCAGTTCAACTAGAATTATAACTTCAAACGTAAAGCTATGTGAAAGCTCTCGTCACTACAATTGACGGTGTCAATTAATCATTATTATTGTCTTCACTATAATTGGTACGATTTTCGTGTCTACTGCCCCCATGAGGGCAGATATACTGCAGACACAGAACGTTATATAGTCGATATTCGTGATCGTCTTCATTCAAATGAGTAACTTTTATTTAGGTGTAAACCATCGGAACTTTAGACTAATTTGCAGGCAAGACTTTTGTTCATAACCGATTTCGCCTTTTTTTTAAAAACATTTCTGAATAGCTAGGTATCAAAGAAATGTGGTGGTTCGTTTGTTTTTTCCAACTTGACGGTAAGATTCTCTGAGAAATTTGTATCTGACATGATATACTCTTCCAGAAAACTGTAACACTTGCAACATATTTCCCCCGGCCCGCGATATTGTAGGCAATTCCATAATTTGATTGGTAGAGAATGCTACTTAAAATAGAAAGCCAACTTAAACCTGGTAGTGCGCCACCATTTTGTGTTCGAATGTGTAATAACAAAACCAATCCTATTTTAATAAGTACTGTAGATGATGAATATTTAAGAAAGCAACAAAATATACATATATTTTTTATTATAGCCTATACTACATTTACGTGTAAGATTTTGGTCCTTAAGCGTAAGAGCATGAGACAGACGTCGAATGCCTGAGTCTCACGCTAAATGCGTAAGCCTTGGTGTAGGCTACCTTCGGAAACTCGGAAGGTCACTTTAAGCACTAGAATAGACACTTAATCCGGATTCAAGGAAAGTCGTAGAAAGATATCTGTAGCTAGGATTAACACAATTGCCTGAAACGTTCCTATTTCAGCATCATTCTATCTAACTACGTCATATTTTTGTGAAAAGTCTACGAATGCTACCTTGCTGATTATACCGTTAATAATCAAAGCCTAATACAATGCTTAGCCATAATGGTTATTATAACAAAAATAAAATTATCCAAAAAGTAGATCCGTTTTTAATGATTTTTCCTCGTTATATAAACTATTTATTGCCACTGATGTGCATGTCCTGCATACGATATTAAAATGGCACGAATTTCATAGATTTATTCTGACTGAATCTTAATTTGATTGATATATTTAAAATTATATCGGTTATTCTTTTTATGATAGGGCCTACTCGCTTTCGAAGACCGTCTCAAAGTCTCAAATCGATGACGTAAAAGCTTTTTTTATTTAATCAAAAGGTTGCACACTCTCCCTACCTATGTGCGAAATATCAAACGAGAACGCGTGTGACTTCGGGGCGTACAAATCTTGGCAAGCTTACTTATATTTCATTATGTATATTAGCGATTATTTTTATTTTTACATAAATATTATATTTAGTCGAATAGGTGGAGGTAGACTTAGATTGATGCGTTTGGCCGTCGAACGCATTACAATGTATACTTTAAAGCCACAACATTAATGGGTTTTCATGTACATCATACTATTTTTATAGTTGTCTTTCAATGAATTGCAGACCATGAGGGTTAAGGTACAGTTATAGACTACAATCTGTGATGTGTTACCAACATGTTTTTACAGTGTAATAATCAGTGTAATAATAAACACGGTGGATTTCAACAATAAGCTTGCAGCACAGCCAAATACACAACAGGAGAGCTCTGCTGTTTTCACTATCACAGGAGTACACAAAATTAATGCGTGTATTGTTACGTACTAGGCCTACACGCAAATTTTAATATAATATCAAAAAAATAAAATATTCATAATTTCAATTTTACATTGGATATTGCGCTACAACATATCATTTGGACCTTCCTTTAGGACACGCTTATTTTTGGGAACGCGCCAAGAAGAATTGCGTCGTCGTCAGCAGCCAACACTATGTTTAAAACACAAGAGGGCGTCATCATAAATTCCTAATCAATCAAGTAGAGGTGGAGACTAATATTCCATGATCTAATTCTGACAAGCGATCACCATATTGATGACTGTCTCTTATACACATCTAGATGTGTATAAGAGACAGATATATATATATATAATTCATCTTTTGTTGTTTCTTGTTTGTCCTGTCTTGTGCGATTTTTTCCGTTTTGTAAAATATTTTGATGATGTGAAGTAAACTGAACTGAACCCATTGGGATGTGGATTTTCAGTTGGTTGGTATTCGGTAGTTTTCCTGAAAAGTTACATATCTCTAGTCAGGGGTGGAATTTCCAGGCATGGGTATGGGTATTTCTGTCAGGAGTGGAGACTTCTCTCAGGGGTGGAATTTCAAGCCAAGGGGTTGGAAACATTTTTACAATGGTGGGGAATTATCTTCAAGGGTGGGAATCTTCTCGTAGAGAGAAAAACCTCTGTTGAAAAATGTAGCAACCCTGGGGATAAATTCCTATGTCCCAGAGAATCACCAACTCCAATGTAATTTCCAGTACGGTGGTGGTGGTAGAAGTGGAAATTAAGTGGTTTTAGAGAAAAGAAGGATGTACGAGGATTACAATATTTAATGAAGATGTGTTATTCATTTAAGCCCATTCAAAGAATCTGAAATATCGCATTTGAGTGGTTCTTCGCCTCGTCCTATTTTTTTTTATAAGAGTAGGCCTATGTATATATGAATAATTATCGAAAACATCCGGAGTTTTCAAACCTATAATTAGTAATACATTATGTAAATTAATTTCAACCTAAACGAGAAACGGAGATGGATTCGTCGGCCGTAGGTCATACGATCGCCGTAGGCCTACTCAACGCAGTGTGTGCCGATCACTGCCATCACAGAATTTTCTCTTTTATTGAAATTTACCGAATTATTCTAAACTCTATTCATCAATATTAATTACGATTACAGTTAGGCCTACTAATTATAATTACGATGACGGTAAATGTTGCTGCTGCTTTCGTAGCTGCTGTCACGTTTCTGTTGTTGTTTCAGATATCAGATTTATTTGGAAACGCTTTAGAGTCAGCGGCATACATCGAATTGTGGTACATCCATGATTACAAAATTTACAAAAAGTGAATATAAAACTATGAAATAATTATATACAATCTGGTACAAGATAAATAATGTAAATACTACACCTTTTTTTTTTAAAGAACCAGTAAAATTTTGCCCAGGCTCAGTGTTCTTATTTGCCGATTTCCGGCTCAAAATGTTCTTATTATGTTCTTTTTTTAAAACAATTTTCATAAAAGAAAATTGTAATTGTACAGTCGGTATACTATTTATTACAGTACTGTACTGTATCGGGTGTTACATGGTCACACCTGTTGCAAATTAGGGTACAAATAAGAGTCGTTGGTTTTCTTCTTTTTTTTAAAAATAAAAACCTCATTTGACATTTTTTCTCAGCCTCAATTTCTTATTTTGTTCTTATAAAATGTGTTTTTCAAAAAAATGTATACTGCTACTGCTACCGTCAATGCCACTGTCACTGCCACTGTCATTCTCAAAATCAAAACCTGACTATAAATTCATATAGTAGTAGCAGTAGCAATAACAATAGTAATAGCAATAGCAGGAGCAGCAGCAGTATGATAAATAACAATCTTACTTTTTTCTGTCCACAGTCGATAGCGAGCTTCACCCGACTTGGGGCCAATGTGCTGTATTCTGTGTCGTTCTTCTTCGTTCTTGAGTAATTAAATACTATCATCTGCTCTCGTGAACTTCGAATATGGTTAAGTAAATCAGCGGCATAGCTTTCACACTGCTCGGCAAGAGCATGGAACTCATCGCCGAACTCCACCCTCCAGTATTTCAGCTCTTTCAGGCGTTTACTGAGTCTGAACGCCTCATTTATTGGATCGAAAGCTGTAAGCGAAATGTAAGCCGGACTGGATAAAGCCCGATAGATTTCGTAAGTCGATATACAGCTCTCAAGCGTGTAGTCTTCCTCTTCCTCCCATTTAGTGGGAGAACATATCTCAGAGCCGTGTTTGAGGAGAACTTTGATGATATGGTAATTGTTCAGATGCGCTGCGTGAACTAAGGGCGTGATAATCGGGTGGAAGTCACCATTTCGTGAGGAAACCTCCAGTATCGCCTAATAAAATATAAAAAAGTAAAGAATATAATGCTAATATGAGAAGATAAGAAGAGACTCTTATATACTATTATAAGAGTGAAAGTGCATAAAATAAGTTTAGTTTATTCCTTAACATTCTGCCATCAATTTACCATTCTAAGTGTCTAGATACCGGAATTTTACTCTTCTACAATGTCCAAATGACCCACTGGGACGTCCGGACCCAACCATAAGCCCTGGCCTCACAAACTTATAAACTCAATAGGGCCTCAACATTCTTCGTTCCCCCCAGGGCCCCTATTATCTGTGCCACTGTGGTCAGGTCATTTATCGAGATCATAATGTTATGGTTGGAATACAGTAGGCCTTATGGATGTGTTCTAAATCAACAAGAGCATTCAATTAAAATGACAATAATGAGGATGCTCTTGATTCACAACGTCTTCATCGAAATTTTAGATTAATGATCGGTACATAGGCTGAATCAGACATAGTCGGCCGCGGACAAGATCAGCACCATTCAGGCAAAAAATGACGTGTTACTATATTGTCAATTAATTATGAAGTAAAGACTAATCAGGCACAATAAGTGAAGAAAATTCAGAGCATGGATAACAAGGGCTAAGTATACAGGGCTAAGTATACTGCTGCTGCTGCTGCTGCTGCTGCTGCTATTATTATTATTATTACTAGCACCGTTATCATTTTTAGCTCCGATGAGGAATACGCGGCTGATTGATTAATAGATCTTTTATTGTGCTGATTGCTTTTTTGTATGGGCGGCCGTTAAGGCCAATTATTTTTATTATCTCCGATAAGATGCTCTATAAAACTCGATTGAACCTCTACTTCTTTGTTGTTGTTGTTATTACAAATGAACTAGGGGTGATTTCCAACAGACGTTCATGGCCCTTTTTTAGGCTGGACCTCAGGTTGTTTCAGCAAGGACTATACACTGCTGCCATTACCACAATTAGGACACGTTGCATGGATGGCTCGGTCGGTTAACGATGTGTTCTAGGGAACCAAAGGTCGTAAGTTCGAATCACTTTTGTTCAATTTTTTTTTCACTTTTAAGACATTTTACTTTTTTCAAATTTAAAACATTTTAATTTTGTACAAATGAACATTCTAATTATTCAAAATTTTCTCTCCCATTAGCTCTTCCAATTTTTTTTTTTTTTTTTTGGTCAATTAGCTCTTAAATATCTTAGAATGTTCGGCCGTATTGGCCAATGTATTCTACTGCCTCTATTATACTGCCCTCATCGGAGCTTTCAAGATTACGAGACCTTGTTTATAGAATAAGCTTAAAAATATTATCTCAATTTTTGGAAATCATTATTGTCATTAGTATAGTGTATATGAAGATACTTGATCGTAAATTGAGAGAGCAGACAAAATGGATTAACATAGACGGCATGTGTGACTACCTGAGATGTATGAATCTCCCCACCCTCCTCACCCACACACTACTTTTTTCCATCCCCAAACGCTAGAAGAGTAACGAGCAAGTTTATCTTCCAATCCTGAATATCAAAATTAATAGGTACACATGTGAGCAACGTCTAAACGCTCCTGCTTTTAATCAAATTAATTGTTTTGTCAGGCGTTCACAACTAAATTTAATGTTGTCGAATGTAAATCACACCGAAAAGCACAATAAACTACGCCACTTAATCTCATATGTACTTTGGATAATTATTTGTGGTGATAAAGATATTATCACTGAATCAAAAAGCTATTATGAATGCAATCTAATATATATCGTCATCCGGTTTATATAAATCCACTATCATCTCGTATTAATTGCTTTGGGGTACACTGAAGGCTCAATAGATTTGCAAAATAAAGCGTAAATTATAAATATTTCATTGCCTATATTATATAACTGCAATAACCGGCAATAGGTGAAATAGTGAGATCATATTTTGCACGATATTATCGGTGTATATTATTTACTTGATTTGATATACTACACACGAGAGGCCGACGCTTATAAGTGCATATTACATGTAGACCTAATTAATACATTTACCTATTAAATCATTTACTTAATTACAATGCTATTAACATACAGAAAAAATTTGTTACTGGCATGTTTGACACAAAATTTAAATAATTGCAGCTTGCTTTATAACCAAAAGATCCATTAGCGTCGATGCTGTGTCTCTGAGGATATTGTCATCAATATGTCAGGAGATAAATTATTTGTTTTAGAAATAATATATACGTTGTTTTTATCTCCTGTTCTTACGAGGTACTGACCAATCGTATGCACAGGCTTAAGAAATGATATACTATTGCACATCAATATTGATGACGGTGTCTCCTGCAGCAGACCCTATCGTCGTATCATTGGGTAATGAGGTGGGATTATTGCAACACGTTAAATAAATTGCTGTATTGCAATGAAATTAGGGATAGAAAAAATGCTGAAATCCTATGTCGTACCGCCAAGATTTCTCTGATGATAATGATTGATGAATATATGTTTTCCGATGTACTGGAAAGTAACGCATTCAAAAGTTTGAGTGTAACTAGCATATTTACAATTGATTGTCGGTTCTTTCTTCCATTGGCAGTGATAATTTTAGTCTTTTATAGCGCATTCCACTCCAAGTCCCATTTATTACGCTGGTCATTGTAAACACAACTTTCTATGATTCCTAGTGATTGCGATATTAATTCATAACTATTTAGCATAAGCCTAGACCAAAATAAATTCAAAGGGGATTGCTTTCAAATCTATAACAGTAAACTGTGATAGAGAACACAGATAGGAAAACATTAGCTGCAAAGTGAATCCCAAAGCCCCGTGAGACCATCGGCGCAGCCTAGCCGAGCCTAGCCTAGCCGGGCCCGACCAGACCCAGCCCAGACCAGCCCAGCCTAACAAGTGCCCTTTTCATACTTTAAGTTGCAGTTTAATATCTGATTCGCAACCACATTCCCTAGTGTTTAGTTGATATATGAATATTATTACTGATAGGAATACAAGAAATACACATTGGAATACGATGTAATATTCAGCCGAAACCAAAAGTATCCCAGTTCCCATGTTGTAGAGGTACATGGTAATGATGTAACATACAGTAACCGGCTTCGTCCAACCTTCACACAAAGTGTATTTACTTTTCCCTGTGTCTGAAGGCTGAAGTAAAACGGTGAATAATAGAATACAATTTTTTTAAAGGCAAAACCCTGGGGAAACAGTGATAAAAACAAGATACTCATAAGCATCATCGCAACGAAATTTATTTTTCTGCGTATAATTTAAAACGTATAATCCAGGCGGTTAAAAGGAGGACAAAGAAATCTGCTTCAAGACTGATAAAAGCATACAAAACCCAAATGCTATTGGAAACGACAAATACAATCGACAGAACTAAACATGAGATGAAAACTAAATCCGTTGCGTTTGCAAGGAATATATTTAATAATTTGAAGCAACGTGAAACTTGAAATATAATCAGTTGTGTATCGGTATCAACCAAAATTGGAAATATCGATTACAATCACCCGAAGAAGACACTTTTTGAAACATAGGAAAAAAATTACTTACCGAAGACATTTTTGAAAACGCAGACAAAACGTTAGAAAACCTATTTATATTTGTTAAGAAATAAAATTTCCAATTGTCCAATTTTACCACGAACACATGAATTATTTTTATAAATCTATATTTAAAATCCGAAAGATTTTTTTTTTTTTTTTTTTTTTTTTTTTTTTTTTTTGTCTTTTGTGGGTGTTTCCCACCTTTAAAATCCGAAAGATAGTTTTACACTACTTCTTCAGGAGTATAATGACTAGTTTAAAACACTTACCTACAAAGACGAAGTGTTACAGAAAAAAGTGGAGCCTAGTCATGTATACTATAATATCCTTAGCTTCTGAAAAACCTTACTTTAAAAATCACTCATTTTAGACGTGATCAATGCTTTTTTGACCATTGGTTATTATTTGTTAACTTCATTACTTGAATTGTTTATTAAGTATTTTTAGAATCATTAAGCAATGGTATGTTAAAAGTTTGAAACATGTATTTTTATAGGGTTTTTAAAGTTTCCAATGGGATTATTGTTCTTTTGTTTTCGTTTAATATTTACATATGGCATGGTACGGATGGGAATACAGTATTGCTTTCAAACATTTATGTTACTCTAATGTAATGTGGTGTGCATGTTTCGTTTCATCTAGGTAATTTATTACGGTACTAAATCTAAATGACGAGTGATACGTAACGTGACAGGTTAGGTCATGTAGAACATTTAGTAAATTCTTTGAGCAAGATGTATGTATTATTTCGCTCTTATTGTATGAGTTTTTATAGCTCTTTAGCCAAGATATTTAAGCTCTCAATATTGGCCAAGTTGAAAGTGTTTTATAACATCGTGTCTTAGCTCTTTTAAGGTTGTGTGTTTTTTTCTAAGAATATTTTTGTCAACATAAATGAAACAAGTTTATACAAATTGCCTATGTAAAAAGTCATTCCTAATACAGTAGGTGATTAAAATCATGGCCTTCATCTCAATTGCGTATTTAATAGATCATTATGTTGATAATGAAGTTGGCAACTTCGATCGTACCACAAGTGAAACAGGCTCAATCGAGTTACCTCAAAACCAGCTTTAATTGATAATCACAATGTATAAACATACCATACAAGACGCAATTACAACGCATCTGAAGTTTTATCACAATAAAAACAAGTTTATTGAAGACAGTAAACTCTCCATTTAATAGATAATGGTGTAATTAATACAAGTTTTTAATTGTTAATTTTGAGAAGGTTAATTTATTTCCAATGTTTATGTGTATTCATTTCGAGTTGAGTTCCATATAACCTGTTATATCTGCTAACATGAGTCAACGATGTTTTGACAATTATCGTACTTGATTGTCTCTATTACATTATTATTATTATTATATTATTACATTATATGGAGTGATGTTAAGGCTCGATTTCAGGTGGTTCGTGGTATATCTGTAATTAATATGGTAAGATTGATAATTTTTTGCGGTTTTTTTAGATGTTAATAACGAGGGCATCTCTCATGTTATCCTGTGGAATGACAGGATCATTACCCACGGATTCATATGCTGTCATGGGGATCAGCTAGAAATGTATGGCTACGTTTATGACTGAGGAGTTTGGTGTTAATTTCTTATATGATGAGGTGCAAACTGGTCAGAAAAAGTTTAATTAGCCTCAATGTGCAAAAACGAATGTGATGGTACAGTTATGGATTTAATTTCGCATCTAAAGTGTTTGGGTTGTAGGCTATTTAACCAATTTCACTGTTCCCTGATTTAACGATAATGTTATTTAAAGCGAAGTGTGGGGGTGGCCAGTAGCAAACAATGATCTCAAGACAATCATTAGCGATATAATGAAACAAATTAGAAATTAATTCGAGCATCGGTGGGGTGGCGGGAGCGAGATTGAAGAACACTGGGAGATATGATCTCATGGATTTGATCACGTCACGATTATGACTGCTGCCTTATTATTAAAATTACAGCATTTGTTTAAACTATATTGACAGCAGATTATGAATGTTTTCAAGATTTCTTTGAAGAACAAAAGGTGTTTGAACTTAAAATGCTATAATCATATTATATACCATATGGATACTATAATTATTTTCTCAGCCTTAGATGCGAAACAGCTATAGGCTTATTAAAAAATAAATAAAACTAGAAATTTTTATCATTTTAGAAGAGAAATCTATCGGTGAGTCTGAAAAAAGTTCCCCCAACCAGAATTACAACTCTTATGTAAAGACCAATCCCTAAAAAACTAGGCCACAGGTGGTACGTTGGAAAATTGAAACCGATTAAAAGCAACAGCTTTTCACACTCTTTGCACAAGCGTAGAGAAATAGCGTTAGTTCTCGACACACTGCGAATAACAGAAATCAATATGTGTTAAATGCCTGCCGTACACCACGTATCAATATATTACGCACTCGTCATAATCATTTGAAACAACAAGACTGGATCTCAGAAAAGATACATTTTAAATATATAGTTTAATATTCGTTCTCCGACGTAGAACAACGTTCTATAATTTGGATACAAACCGTATTTAGGAAATACTTATATAATTGGAATATCAGTATGTTACGCACTCATCATAAGCATTTAAAAAGACAAGACTGGATCTCCGAAAAGATACATTTAAATATATTTATAAAATATTTTCAAGCTTTATTATTCGTTCTCCAACGTAGTTTAAAAATATGTCCAAGCTTTAATATTCGTTCTCCAACGTAGTTTAAAAATATGTCCAAGCTTCAATATTCGTTCTCCAACGTAGAACAACGTTCTATGATTTGGATTACAAACCGTATTTAGGCTTTAAAATTCTTCACGTGATAACCATTTTAAATATATTATGATATGAAGCGACAGCCTAGGGTCATTTAAAATAAGATGTTTGTGACAGACATTGTACTCGTATGATGATAATTAACAGTGTAGTCGGCATAAAAAATGGGCAATAAAACTGTCTTGAACTTCATTCTCCGTTGTTTATGATGTTTTCATGCTAGATAGTTAGAAGAGCACATCCAATACACAGGTGGATTTTTACAACCATAACATAAAAGTAAAAAAGTTAAGCCGTACACTGAGTCGTACGACGGCGGTACGCCCGTGGTACGACGAATCAAACGACGCCGTCTGCTGATTGTCGGTGGCAGTTGGAACAGATCCTCATTAAAAACGATCCGTTGCGCGTGCGTTGTGGCGTTGCGTTTTTTTGTTTTTTTTCGTAGAATCGCGTCGGGTAACGACCGTCGGGCGCAGTTAGTGCCAGGCTTTAGGCCTCCAAACTCCTTATTTAATTTTTTAAAGACTTTAAATTACTGTAATTGCCGAGTAAACACCTAGATTATTACTTATATAAAAAATACAAGAATAAGACACTAGAACTTGATATAATATGGTGATTTCGAGCAAGCCATGCTGCCCTTAGATATGCAGTACGTGGATAAGTTAGATATAGGTCTATACGCAATATGTTGATATATTGTACTCAGGAGAACAGCGACAGGTGATCGGATACCTTTAACGAAGCAACAACTAATTACTAGTAGGAACATGGGGGAATTATGTTGTAAAAATGCTATAAACAGTTACACTTACATTTCATCTTACATGTATAGGATTAAGGGAACAAATCTTGAGACTCAACGTAATTAATGCAATGATTATCGCACGTGTTATGTTACAAACCATAAACTAACTATAAATTATCATGTTTCATTACGTCATTTCTGTCATTGTAAAGTACTTTGAGTTGATTATATTTAAGTGCTAATATTCCCTTAAACATTTATATGCAAAGAAACTAATCCTACAACTGTAGATGCAAAGGCAAGTACCGAGTTTCATTCTGCATCGAATGTAACGAATACTCAATAATTCATCCTGACCTTTTGCTAACATGGGCGGATTTAGGGGGGGGGCGCCTGCGACGCCACCCCCCTTATATCACAAAAAAATAAATTTTGTTATGAAATTGTATAACCCTGTTGTCTCTAATTGACATGAAACAGTGGCGTAACAGGCGGGGGGCAGACTGCCCACCTGACGGGGTG